AATCAATGTGAGTCAATGCCCTGTATAGCTATCCTTATCTCAACCAGCAAAAACTCTTGTTCCTTCCTATTATTGCTTATACTCTCTCTACAACAAGATTAGAAATAAGGGCAAAATAGTTTCTGCTGGTTATTGGGGGGGGGAGAGGGAGGGGGCGGAGTGGGTGGTAAGGGAGGGGGTGTGGGCAGTGGGGAGAAATGAACCAAGCCTTGTATGCACATATGAATAATAAAAGAAAAATGAAAAAAAAAAAAACCACCAAAACAGAAGGCCTAAGTTAGGCATAGGAAGAATGAGGCTCTTGCAGAAATAAACAGAAGTCTAGCTGTGAACACATCATGTTCCAAGAATAATTCTGGGCAGGAAGAACACATGTGAATAGGAGACAGCAACTGAGTGAATAGTTGAATTTGGATGAGTGGGAATATTAAGAGAATTCATTGATGCTGTTACATTTGTTTTTAATAGCATGTTCAGTTCCACTGTTTTGGAGCTCATCATCAGGTGTTGTGGTTTTGGGTTTTTCTGGTACGGGGATCAAACCCAAATTCTCATGCAGGCCAAGCACATGCTGTACCCCAGCCACTTCATCATCATGTATTGATTGAACATCTACATTCTCTATTGATTGAAAGACTGGGGATACAGCAGTGGCTCTTCCTGTCTTGTAGATGAGCAGGCAGGCAGAGTCGGTCATAGGCTGTGACAGTCATGTCCAGTGGACTCTGGGTGTAGAATGCTTACACATTCTGATTCACATTTCACTTGTAGTTTTATAGTTAAAAAAAAAAATTTCGTATACCCCTAGTTATAGTAATCTCAAAAAGTTTGAGTCAGAAGAGATAAAATCTTTAAAATTTCAAACTATCAAAGCTTCAACTCAACTCTGCTAGAGCTATGGCATGCAAATAAATCAAGAGAGAAACAATAAGAAAAGGTATCTGTTGTGTTAATACACCAAAACTTGCCTTTGGCTTCCAAGGTATAGCTAATCATTCAGATGCCTGATATGAGCCATTTATTTTGTTGTTGGATACTCAGACATCAAGGTTTAGACCTGTGCTTTTCTACTTTGTGGCTACCAGCCAGCGAGGCAACTGAACACTTAAAATGTGGCTGTTGAGAGCCGCTGTAAGGATCAAATACGTACCAGATTTTAAAGCCTCGGTATGAAATACTCAGTAAGAATGTGAAAATCTCACAAGTATTGTTACATGAGTACATTTTGAAATGGTAATGTTTGGACTGTTGGCTTAATATTAATAAATAAATATAAATGATATTAATAAAATTAATTACATTAAAAAAACTTTAAAAATACATCTATAAGAAATTTAAAAATTACATTTTTGGCTTCTGTTTGTGATCTACATCATATTTTTGTTTGACAGTGTTTAGACACATTTATAACTGAATGATTTTTCTTTTTGGTGGTACTGGGGTTTGAACTCAGGGCTTCACACTTTCTAGGCAGGTACTCTACCACTTGAACTATGCTGCCAGCCCAGCTGAGTGATTTTTCAAAGACTGCTACAGTTTAAGAATGTGTGAGGCCCTGGATTCAGTCCCTGTACTGGGGGGAAAAAACAAAAGGGAAAGGCTGCTACAATTTTAGTTTAATTGGTTAAGTTAAATTTACCCTTTAAAAATCTTCCTTGTTTTCTAATCAGAACTGTACTTTTTCAGGTTTCTGTATAGGTCAAACCATTACCTGTGTATTAGGGTTAAATATCCTTTTTTGAAGCTGAAATAGTAAGGTACTTTATAGACATTTTCTAAATCCATATACAAATAGGCATTTCTGTAACTGTATTCCTATTTATCACTATTTTTGTGAGGAGATAGTAGTAGGTGTTACCCTGAAGTAGGTGTGAAGTGGGAGAACTAGATTAAGGAAAGACATCTTTGATACTGGTACAATTTTTAATGCACGTTGCATGTTTATACAATATGAATATCCCAGGGGAAGATAGAAAATGCAGTATTCCCAAACTTAAGTAACCATGAAACACATCTTCCTTGGGTACAAGACAGTATTCAATTCTTGACACAGCATTTCAGAGAGTTTCCCATATAAACACACACACACACACAGAAATTTAACTTTTATTGTTTTTTGGCATAGTCCCAGCCTAAAATTGTTCATATCAGAATATAGTCAAATAATTCCCATAGGACTGTGAGTACTATTACTGAACATTGTGTATGTAAGACACTGACTGCCTTACACAGAGCATCTACTGTGGTTAGTGCTGTGTATCATACCTACCTGCCCATGGTACTCACCAGAGGCTCTGCCAAGTAGGCTTTGGAGAGAAGGAGGATCTGGCCCAGGGTCATCCAGCCCTGCAGGATGCCTCCTAGCTCCTTCCAAAATCTGCCTCATGCCCCCTTCCATGTGCATCTCTCTCTCCACATCTGTCACACATTTACGTATGGGTATGTTATGTTCATGCATGAACACAAGTTCTGTGTGTTGATAACTCCACACAAAAGGACAAGGAAGGCCATCATAATCTGTCTGCAGCCACCCTTAAGGTGCCTGGTTCACACATGCCATGACCTGGCACAATTATAGAGTCCAAGTTCCTTGACTCTCTTAAGTAGAGGGATGGTTTTAGCTGAGAATATGTTATGTGCTTAGATCCAAATGTAGTTTTTCCACACAGATACTGGTTTATTGCGAAAATCAGAAACCTAAGTTAGTAACACTCAACTTCTAGCTCAGACCTGTGGCTTGAAACAGGGAAGTATGTGCTGAGTTTTGTGTCTGCCAAATCAAAATGTTAGAGTCCCAACTCAGGCCTTTCATTCTTCCTTGTTCTTACCTGCATTGGCCAGGTGCTGATCAAGGCCCTAGGGATACAATAGTAAATAGTCACTATCCTGGCCCTTTTGAAGCCCACATTCTACTGAGGGTTCTCATTGAGGGCCTGAATGCCATAATCAGAACAACGTGTTAGAGCTGGGGTTGAGGGGTAGAGAAGGGAGGACACCATCTTCAGTAGCATACATAGTCAAAGGAGGCCTCTCCAAGGTGGAGCAATTTGAGTGAGATCTCGAAGATGAGGAGCAAAGGGGCAGGCCTGGAAGAACATCCCAAGTGCAAAGTCCCTTCAGTGGAAAAGCCAGCGTGAGGAGGAAATGCCCTCCTGTGAGGACAATGAGAGGGGCAGACTTCAGGCATGGGGTCATTGTAGGCTGTGGAGTTTATTTTAATTCAGAGACCAGTAGGCAGTGAGGGACTTTAATGGTGAGCAATGTGTTGGGTTGCATTTTTAAATCTCTGCTAGAGGATTACAGGTGGAGGAGAATAGGGCAAATGGCTGGGGGGTAGGGGAGACCGCCCAAGATTTAGTGCCCAGCAAGGAGCTAAGAAGGTTGAGCCAGGACCAGGCAAGAATCAAGGAGAGGGAAGAGGAAGTTCTTTTGGAAAAGGAAGTGGACATCTCTGCTAAGTGCTCCTGAGCACAAATGTATACAGATGTGCCCCTCCATTCTTAGTTAACATGGGCATGGCATGTCAAGGGCTTTCAGGCACCTGTTAATCTTTGTAGTAGCCCTGTTGTTTTAAGAGGTTCATGTATATTACCTGTTTACTTCTTACAGCCTTCCACTGACATAGCATCATCTTGGAAGTTAAGTGTATTATTAAGCGTCACCCCAATGGAGAGTGATGCAGCAGAATGTTAGTCCCTAAATTCTGGTCCTGGAGACATGTGAAAGACCTGTGATTGCAGGCGAGCAGCCAGTTTCACTCTGATCTTTTTTCTTTCTAGGTTATGGCCTCCGCTGCCACAGGGCCATCATCACCATCTGCCGACTCATTGGCATCAAGGACATGTACGCCAAGGTCTCCGGGTCTGTCAATATGCTGAACCTCACCCGGGGCCTCTTCCTTGGGCTCGCACACCAGGTAACCCTGCCCTGGGGTCACAGGGCAAGGAAACAGAAGTGTGCTTGTGCTCAAGATCACAGTGTCCCATGGCCTACTGCAGATGCTCTCAGGGCCACCTGAGGATGTGGGCATTCTTTTCTTTCTGTAGCTGCATCAGGTCACTGAAGAGTTAACGATAACCCTTAAACAAATACTTCATGGACTTTTTGAAGTTGCAAAATTCAGTATTTTTAAAAGTCAGTAATTGCAATCTGCATTTTAGTATGAAAAGAAAACATGCTCATTCTGAAGCTGCATCTGTTGAGAAAAGTCAGGCAAAAAGAGAAAGTCCTTCCTAACTTAGTCCTTTCAGTCATCTCGGGTGAAGTGCCTAGAGTGCCTCACACTCAAGAGAAGCTGTCATTCTGCACGGTACCTGCATAGGTGGTTCAGATTCACCTGAGTTAATAAGAGCTGTGAACATTAATATGTCAGTTATTTTTCCTTGAGTTGCTGCTGAGCTTGGCCTTTGCCTCGCCCACTATTACTCCACTAGAGGGGAAGGGCTGTGTCTTTAGGGGCCCTCCTGACAGCTCTAAGGTCTGCCCAGCAAGGATGGCCTGTCTCTTAAGCAGAGGTCAATGAGCAGAAACGGCAACAGTTGAATAGGCTCCAGTCTCTGAACTCTGTTAGCTGAGGACTGATTCATGGAATAATATATATTTCTGTCTAAAATAGGAAAATTAATTAAAAGAAAAAGAAGGATTTGAATAATTTTTTTTTTACTTTTGTGTGTTGGTACTAAAACATCTTCAAAACACTTCTAAGTTCATACCTACTGTTGAAGGTTTAATTGTTTGATGTAACTTAACCTGTTGGTTTTATATGAGTCAGATTTACGATTTTGTAGTCTTAATCTTTCATGTGATATTTTTATTTTCTGTTAGTGATTTGAACCTTCTGATGTAACCACCACTTGTTATCATTTCTAAAATGCCATCAATTATTAAAAAATTACATTTTTTAATGTGCTACTCAGACAAAAATGCCACCGGGTAAAGTGACATGCCTTTGATTGTAACACACCAGTTTAAATCATTTTATGAAACAACTCACTGTTTTTTTCTGATTTTAAATACTTACAGAATTACAATAGTATAGAGTGGACATCTGAAAACATGGAGTTGAACAGAATACCACTCCACCCAGCTTTAGGGATTTTCAACCAGATCTCAAGACATCCATTTTATTTCATCCATAAATATTTCACTGCGTATTTCTGAAAGATGAAAACTAAGAAGTACTTCACAGTACTGTTATCATTCCTGAAAAAATTAATGATGGCTCAGTTTCATCAAATATCCAACCTGTTCATACAAATGTACCCATTTGTCAGATTTACATTCCATGCTTTTGCTCTGTGTTTTAAGTCTCTTTTGATCTGTAGATTCCCTATTTTTTTCCCCTTGACATTTTTTTTTTGTTGAAAAAAAAAAGGATTGTTTGTCCTGTAGTGTTTCCCAGTTTGGTGCTGACTAAAAACCTGTGGGGTCCTTACTGTCTTCTCTCCCTTTATTTCCTATAAATTAATAGTGAGATCTGAAGGCTTGATGAGATTTAGCAGTGCACATAATGAGGGGGTTTGGAAAGTAGGGCCCTTCCTCCTTTCCAGTTTGTGGAGAGATGGGTTAAGATAATTCCATCCATGACAGATCACCATAGTTTAGCCACAGAATGCATTACCCACAATCAGCTGAAATGGTGTTTCTTTCCCCTCTACAGGGTTCTTACTCCAGCTTCCCTCTGGCTGATGGAAGTTCTTGCTGTTTAGGTTACAGCTGTGCTTCGTAGACCTAACCTGCTTTTCTCAATTGGTCTTGCCAGGAAACCCATCAACAGCTGGCTGACAAGAAGGGTCTCCATGTGGTGGAATTCCGGGAGGAATGTGGTCCTCTGCCCATTGTGGTTGCCTCCCCCCAGGGGGCCTTGAGAAAGGATCCAGAGCCAGAAGCCGAGGTTCCAGACGTCAAACTGGACTGGGAAGATGTGAAGGCCATGCAGGGAATGAAGCGCTCTGTGTGGTCAGGATTAAAGAGATCACACACCTGACTTTTGCTCTGGCCTGGTCAGCCAGTGCCTGGTGCTGTCCAGCACCCACCAGAAACTGCCCCTCCAACGTTGGCATGTTCCGCTACCCCTCTTTTTTGAGGACTTCAGTCTTCTTTATTTACAATTAAATATTATAGCTTTGGTTAATTGAACACATAGTAAACACCAGTTAGTGGGATAAGAACTTCACATACATATCTCAGTTCAAGACTCAGTCTAAGTATTGATCCAAATTGCTGATTCATCCAAAATGACTTTTTATTAACTTTATTTTATGGAGCAGTTAAAAAGTAACCTGACTGCATTGAGGCACTACCAAACTCTTCCACAGCAGCTGGGCTGTTTTATGTTCCACTGGGGCATCCCAGGTTTCACCACATCCCTGCTGCCCGCCAGCATTTGTTCTGTCTTCTGATGAAGGTCATCCTAGTGGGTGTGAAATGGCGCCTCATTGTGTTGTGGCTTTGTGTGCTTTTGGCCATTCATTCGTAGGTGTTTTTGGAAAAATACCTATTTAAATCCTTTGTCCACTTAAAAAATTTGGTTATTTGTAGTTTTTATTATTGAGTTGTAATAGTACATTCTAGATTGAAGCACCTTAACAGATAGATGACGCAAAAAACTTTTCTTACTCTGTGGAATATGTTACTGTGTTCTTTTTTTTTTTTTGCAGTACCGAGGATTGAACTCAGGGCCTTGTACTTGATTGGCAGGTGTTCTGCTTAAGCCACACCCCCAGTCATTTTTGTTTTAGTTATTTTTCAGACAGGGTCTCTTGGGCTGGCCTGGATCAAGATCCTGTTATGTATGCCTCCTGCATAACTGGGATTATAGGCATGAATACTATGTCACCCTTAATGATTGAGATGAGGTCTTATTAACTTTGCCTGGGCTAGCCTCAAACCTCGATCCTAATGTCTGCCTTCTGAGTTATTTTCTTATCTCTTTGAATATTTTTTAGCTCAGCCTGCAGGCTTTTTCTGGAACACTGATGACACAAATATTGGGCCTTTTACTATAGTCTCTCAAGCCTGTGAGGCTCAGTTTGTTTCTAGTCAGTTTTCTCTTTGTTAGATCAGGTAGTTTCTGTTGTTTTATTTTCAGGTTTACTAATTACAACTTTTCTTTTGATTCTGCCCTTCATCTGTCCATTCAGTATTTTAATTTTGGCTTTCGTATATTTCAGTTCTAAAATTTCCATTCGATTCTTTATATTATCTCAGTTTTGTTTTGGGAGTGTTGTTACGGTGGCTGCTCTAAAAGCTTTGTCATGTAGCCCAGCCCTGTGTCATCTTTGGGTTGTCTTCCCCTGCCTTCTCTTATTCAGTTGGACCATTTCTTGGTTTTTGGTGTAATGAGTGATTGGACTGTATCCGAGGGATTTTCATTATCATATTATGAAACTCTGGGAGTTTTAAAATCTCTCAGGAGGCTGCAGAAATGACTGCCAAGAGTAGGTGAAAATCCAGGTTCCCTGCTCTGGCTCCCCTCTAGACCTCTCCTGAGGCCATGCTGCCCAGAAGAGGGAGCAGTACAGTAAGAAGGCCCTGTAAGCCTGGATGCTGGGGAAGGTTCTCAACCTGTGACATCATTAGGTGTGTGTGTGTTAGGGGAGGGAAGGGGACTGCATGTTTTTTTCTGTGTTATTTAGTTAGAGTAAGGTAATCATTGTCTAAAGGTTTTCTGTCTTGTCAGGTTACCCTCCTTAAATACCTAATAAATGTCAAAATATCAGGGCCAGGCATGATGTCTCACACGTGTAATTCCAGCTCCTTGAGAGGCAGAGGTAGGAAGATCAGGGTCCAGTGCCTTCCAGGGCAAAAGTATGAGACATTACTGAAACAAACAAAGGAAAAAAAAACTAGGAGAGCATTTTGAAGAGCACTTGCCTAGCAAGTGCAAGGCCCCGGATTCAATTCTCAGTACTGTAAAACAAACAAAATCAATGAACTTGAGCCAACAACGGACAATGATCATATAGAGATGAGAAGCAGAGTTATCCCTACTTAGTATCTGGAGAAAGTCCATAGCTCCAGGAAGGCTCATACCATCAGGACCTGGTGACTTTCTTAAGGGAGGAGATGGAGTGGTAGTGAAGGACTGTCAAGGTGACGAGTTCATAGGGGAGGGCACTTCAGAGGAAAGAGTTACATAGTGAGAGGGTGGGGTCTGCAGAGGCTTTCCATCAAATATCCCCGTGCCCAAAATTGCATACCTGTGAAGGTATACCAAAGGCGCCACCACCTCTGAACAGTGCCATAGACGGGTGACCAAGCCTTTAGAATATGGGTCTCTGGAGGACATTGAGGATCTAAACTCTAACAAGGTCCATTAGATCCAGTTAGTTGATAGTGCTGTTGAGGTCAGCTTTCTTGATTGTCTTTCTGATGGATCTGTCTGTTTCTAATAGAAGGGTGATGGAATTTCAAACTATAATCGTGGATTCATCTATTTTTCCTTGCGGTTCTATCAGTTTTTGCCTTATGTGTTTTAATGTTCTGCTGTTAAGCTCATACATATTAAGGATTTTTATGTCTTCATGGGAGAATTGGTTATCATTATTAATGTCCCTATTTCTGATTGATAATTTTCCTTGCTCCAAAATTAATGTAAGTACTCCTTTTTCCATATTTTTCCTTGCTCTAAAATTAATATAGGTACTTCTTTCTTTTTCCATCCCTTTTAATCTGCATTAATCCAGTACCCATGGTTTAGCTGTGCACAGTTTCAGTTAACCTCCATTTACATGATAAAATATTGCGCTGTCCCTCTGGGATGTGACTCATCCTTTTGTCCAGTGTGTCAGCACCATATATGCTACTTCCCCATTCGTCACTTAGTAGCCATCTTAGTTATCAATGTACTTGTATCACAGTGCTTGTATTCAAGTAACCCAAGTTTTATTTAATAATGGCCCCAAAACACAACAGTAGTGCTGGCCATTTTATTATATTGTTAAAATTATCCATTTTATTACTACTAGTTGTTAATCTGTTACTGTTCCTAATTTCTAAATTAGAGTTTATCATAGATATGTATGTTTAGAAAAAAAATTAATGATATATAGGGTTCGGTACTATCTGCAATTTTAGGCACCCACTGGGGGTTCTTGGGACGTATATGCCATTGATAAGGAAGGACTCCTGCACATGTATATTTAATGTGGGATTCTTTTTTTTTTTTCCACATTAAAAAGCAGTTTTATTAGAAAATTTAAAATGACAGTATGTTAACTTGAACAGCTAGCTAGGTTATGTAAGGTCTGGAAATTCCCTTTTTGATATTATCCAATCTTCAAAACATGATTGATTGCATTTATATTTAATGTGGGATTCTTACAGCATATGGGTCTTACTTTTTGATTCTCTCTTTGGATGGGTGTATTTAGATCATTGGCTTATAAAATGATTATTGATACAGCTGATTTAATTTCTGCTGTATTTGTTACTGGTTTTTATTCATTCCTTTTGTTTTTGGTTCCTATTTTTGCCTTTCACTTGCCTTTGGTTTTTGTTTTCTCTTCTTTCTCAGCATATCTGTTACACTTCTTTTTTTACCTTTTTTTAGTGGTTGCCCTAGAGCTTGCAATATACATCACATCTAACCCACTTTTCAAGTAATACCATACTGCTTCATGAGTAGTGCAGGTACCTTATAATAACAAAATCTCCCTGATTCCCACCTCCCTTGTTTCATTCATTTCACATACAGGTAAGCAATGCTCGAGTACATTGTTATTGTTGTTTTGAACAAGCTTATCTGTTAGATTAAGACAAAAAGTTTTATTTGTTTCTTCACATTCCTTTTCCAGTACTCTTCCTTTCTTTGTGTAAATCTGTGTTCAGGTAGTTATTTCCTTCTCACTAAAGAGCATTTTTTAACATTTCTTGCAGGCAGGTTCACCAGCACAAAAAGTCTCAACTTGAGAAAGTCTGTTTCTCCTTCACTTTTGAAGGATAATTTACAGGAGACACAATTCTTGGTGAGGTTCTCTCAACACTTTGAAGATTTCATTCAACTCTTGTGTGGTTTTGTAGCAGGGAGGAGGATGGGAAGAGAAACAGGTTGTGTTCTGAATGAGGCAGGGGGAAGGGATGGCAAAGCAGAGAGATAAAACATAAAGAATTGAAACATGAAGGTCACATAGCACTGGGAGAATGAAATAGCCAGTGAAGTCACATGCAGCCATATGTGGATTGAGCTTTGCCTTTTGCTTCTGTAACCTGTTTGCAAGGGTATATGAGGGGAAACCTCTTTGTTTTCGGGGCTCAGCCTTTGAACGCGGGTGTGCTTCCTGCTAAACTGCCTCAGTGTCCCGCATGTCAGCTTGGGAGTCCTGCAGCAGTTTCTGAGGAGAAGTTGGGTATAATTCTTACCAAGTTCCCTGATAGGTGAGTTGTTTTTCCTTTAGCTTCATTAAAGATTTTTTTTTCTTTATTTTGGTTTTCTGCAGTTACGTGTAGGTGTTGGTCCTTTGGTGTTTCTTCTGTGCTTGCTAAGCTTCCTGAACCTTTGATTTTGGTGTCATTAATTTGGGGAAAATTCTCAGTCATTACTGCTTCACAGATTTCTTCAGTGTCTTCCTTTCTTATATTCCCACCAGGTTTATGTTACACCTTTTGTTGTCCTATAATTCTTACATAATCTGTTCCTGGTCTCGGTGTGTGTGTGTCGGCTTTTCAGTTTTGCAAATTTCTCTTGATGTATTCTCAAGATTGTTTCCTCAGTCATATCCAGTTTGTAATGAGTCCATGAAAGGCATTCGTTTCTGTTACGCATTTCTTATCACCAGCATTTGTTTTTGATTCTTTCTTAGAAGTTCCATCTCCCTGCTTATGTTACCAATCTGTTCTTGCATGTTGTCTTTTCCCCCATAGGTGGAACAGAATGATTTGAGGGGACTTCCCTCGGGTCAGTTAGGCTCTGATGAACCCTAGTAGCATAGGCTCTGATAAAATAGTTTTTCTTGAGGGCAGGCCTTGTGAAGAACTGAATGCTCTGGTGCATTTCAAAATAGGTGCTTCCCCTTTCCTCTACCAGAAGCCAGAGGAGCCTGATAGATAGTCACTGTGGGAACCTGGTAAACTGGAGGTAAAACCGAGAAGTATTAGGGCCTTCTGTGTCCATGCTCTGCATTTCATCAGTTACTGCCTGCCCTCACGAGATTTGTATATAAGTGTGCATAGCAGCTGTATCTGTAAGGGACAAAAATTTGAAACAACACATGTATCATCAGGTGAGTGGATACATGGACTTCCTCTAGGCCATGGGAGGCAGAGAACTCAGCTATTGACACAGCATGGATGAACCTCAATAATTATGTTGAGGGAATGAACCCAGAAAAAAGAGCTTCTACTATATGAGTCCATTTACATAAAATTCTGGAAAATGCAACCTACTCTATAGTTAAAGCAGATCAGTGGTTGCCTGGCAATGGGAGGGCATAAGATCAGAGTGAAGGGATTACAGAGGGACATGAGTCGACTTTGGGGATAATAGGTATGTCATACTGGTTTGTGGTGGTGGTTTCACAGTGGTCATATTTGCCAAACTTTAAACCCATAGATTATTTAAACTTCATTGAAACTTTAAAATTTTTAAGT